TGGGCATCTTGAAGGCATCTGACCAATCTTCCTGGAAGCTCTTGAGCCAGGCTGTTTCAGTTCTGCCCAGTCGGGGCATCTCTGCCCAGATGCTCCTTGTTTCGGACGTGGAGGGCGATTGTCTTTTGTCCCAGAGAGGTTGGCCTCAAAAGACCCCTTGGATCTCTGTCCAAGTGGAAATGCCAAGAGACGGGCACCCCAGGCACTACTGGGAGTGTTTCTGCTTCCAAATTCTTTCCATACAAATGTTAACATTTTGTGCAGCTGGCATATAATTTTGGAAGAATGGAACAAACTGGAGAGTACGAGGGAACTTGCTATAATTAGTACTTTCTTTATCCCCCAAATCTCACAAAGGTTGGTTTGTTCTGCTTCTCTGCTTGTTGGGTTGGCATGGAGGGCACTGAGAGTCTTTGCCCCATCCGGCTGTTTGTAGGGCTGGTAAACTTCTTTCTTGAAATCCGGGACTTCAAGCAGCGTCTATTGTCGGACCGGGCAAGGGCACTGCAAGAGGCCTTCGGGAAAGTCGTTCTGTCCCAGAGCATCCTCGGAGTGCACTCTCAACGTGCCTGGAAAGAACTCCAAGTGGCAAGGAGTCTTCTGCATCTGGAAAGGACTCAGACAGGCCCTTAACTCGGAAGCAGGCATCCCTGAGAGCGACTTCCAGCAGGAGCCTAGCTGAAGATTTAGCTGCTTGTCACTGGGCTGGCTAAGCCGCAAGTGGGCAGGCTCAGAAGCAGCCAGGCCCTTTGCCAACGTTCCCCCCCCCAGGAGTTCAAAGCCATCTGGAAAGGCGCTTTCTCAAGACTGTGGCTGCGGTTTCCTACACACACACACACACTCTTTTCAGCTTGCTTTGTTCCTCAAGTGGACTTGAGTGCTCCCTTCCAGAAGTGTTTCCTGAGGCTCTGGGAATCTCTGGTAGCCAAAGGCTTATTTCCAGGCGAAATAAAAAAAAAATGAAAGTTCACGTCCAGCTCATTAGAGAGAAACAAATGGGAAAATGAGCTCAGAGGCTCCCTGCACCTCCAGGTACAAGTCAGTCTGAGACCTGCTGCTCCCAACAAGCCTCAGCACCCTTTTCCCCAAGGGGGGGACTGAGGGTGGGAGCCTAAGAGAGTCGCAGGCCGAAGACCTGGCAGCTGCGTTCACACAATAGCTAAACCTGGTTAGGGCTGAGGTGTGGACAGCTGATCCTGGGGTGCCAAGTCCAAAGGTGGGTGAACCTCTTCCAGTTCCGGTCTAAAAGCCGGATTGTCTTGCCGTCCCTCCCTCGGCGATGTTCCGCACTGGGGAGATAGGCTGCTCCTCCGCGTGGAAGTTCCTCAAAGCTGCGGTTTCCAAGGGGGAAGAGGGAGCCTCTCCACGCCTCCTCCTCTTCCTCCTCCTCCTGGAGGCAGATTGGGCAATGTGGCTTCTCGGAGGAGGCGGGAGGCTCACCTGCCTCGCCACCCGGGTCAGCCCTTCCCCGGGCCGCGAAGGAGGCGGCGCTTCGGGGCTCCAGCCTTGGCTTTCGGCTTTGGGCTTCGGCGCGGGAGCGGAGTCGGCGCAGGGCGAGCGGCGGCACCATGAGCCCCAAGCAGGCGGTGGTGGCGGCGCTGGGCGCGCTGTGCCTGGTGGCCGTGGCGGGACTCGTCCTGCTCTGCGTGCCCACCAAGGACGTGCTGGACCCGCCCGCCTTCAAGGTAAGGCGCGCCCGCAGCGCCGGCCCCGCGGACCCCCGGGCTCTGCCGCCCAGCGCCGCCGGGACTGGGGCCGAGGGGCTCCCGGCCGCCACCTCTGCGCCCACC